GGCTAAATAATAAGATGAAAGAAGTAAGGTACTGAGAAGAGAAAGAAAAGAAAAAGTGTAGGATATGTGGGAGAGGAGAGACATGGGAACATGTGTTGGAAGGATGCATGGAAAAGGAGGAAGGAAGGATTTGGTGGGAGAGGATGAGCGAAATTCTGCGGCAAGAAGGAGAAGGGGAGGGGTGGATGAGGGAGTTGGAAAGGAAGAGGGAGATAAGGAGGGAGAGGGAGGAAGGGAGAGAGGTGAACGGGGATGTATAGAGGAAAGAAAAGTGACGAGAAAAGAACATTTTTATAAAAAATTAAAATTTAAAAACTTATGCAAATTTAAAATTAATATAAAATAAAAAGAAATAAAAAAATTTTAGTTAAAAAAACTGGGCGCGCTGCTAAATAATATTCTAATGATATTAAAATTAAATTGTTACTTTTAAACTCATTGCAGCGCGCCCAGTTTTTTTAACTAAAATTTTTTATTTCTTTTTATTTTATATTAATTTTAAATTTGCATAAGCTTTTAAATTTTAATTTTTTATAAAAATGTTTATTTATTCGCGCAATAATTGGACATTACTTTTTGTAGAGATATTAATTTTAGAACATAAATTTTTGTCAATTGATAGATATTTTTACTTAAAAATACTTTTTTGTTTAACACTTTTTCACATGGCGCATGGACTTGGCATCTTGTTTATCTTTTTTTTAAAAGATAAGTTTTTTTATGGTACAATTTTACATTTGCAAATTTAAATTTTTATTGATTCATTATACGACTCTATATATGTCTGCAACTTTAATTTTCCACTGGTACAAGTTTCTACTTTCACTTGGCGCAATTTTTTTTTATTTCATTACTTTTGTTACGATTGTACATTGGTTTATAATCGATAATTTTTCATACAATTCTATTGTACATGGGTTTGCAATGGATAATTTTTGTTAATGGTGTGCCCTTAACTGGTCGCCTTTTTTTACCTTTTTTTAAAGGTTTTTAGAGATTATATCATTCATTTTTGTATATGATAAGCATCTTTAAATAAATAAGCAAATTCAATTTTTCTGGCATTTTCTTATTTTAGGTACATATATATCCAATAATTAATATACAAAATTAAATATTATTCATTACACAATTTGTATCAAAATAATATATTTTTAAAAATTTATTTTAAATTTATTTAATCATTTTTATCATTGTGATTGTAGTGGCAAGGATTTTATTGCTCAGTGTCATTGCAAGCATCTGGCCTGTATATACCATAATATATTGTGTAATACATTGGCTAAGTATGACAATATGGATTTTGATAGATTCCCATGGAATATTGGAATTTTGTCGGACTTGCAGTCATCCACCACATATGCAGCTTACAATTAAAGAACGCATTTATTCCATATTATTTGCTTCCGTTATTGGCATAGTGCACATTTTTATATATCTCAATGCTGTAGATAGCAAAACATTTTGAAAACATCTATCTTTCTATGTTATCTGCTTTTTGAAAATATTGCAGCAAATTTATTATGGCAATATGCTTGTCCTCCTGCAGTTAAAGAGGCTTAGTACTTTAATATAATCTTTATTATTTGTATCATTTCCTTTTTCTTGGGAATTACAGCAATGCTTTTGTACTATATTGTCTTGCATCCCTCAAAAAGACAACATACTTCAAACGCACCAGTTCAAGCAATGTAACTTTGATATTTATTTACTTTAAAAATGAGAGATAAATTATACAATATGCAATTAACCTTATCTTATGACTTTTATAAATCTTATGATAAAATCTAACTCTCTCTTAATCTTTATTATGAAAAGAATCTCGGTATTATATGAAATAATTTCATTGTATAGTTTAACTTTCAAAAATTTTGCAAAATAAAATAACTCACATTGTATTTCTACCATATATATAAAAAAAGATAGGTAAATATAAATAAATAAATATATATTTATGATATACAATAAATAAATATATATTTATATTTATATATATATATATATATATATAAAATGTTGGATTTTTATTATATATATATAATTTCAAAAATCTTTTTATATGCTATTGAATTTTAATACATACAATTTTGATTATATGTATTTTAATTGATTATATTTATAAGTATTTTTATATTATCTTAAAAAGACTGCATAGAATTATTTGTGCGACACTCTTATATGTATGTATAATTAATAGGGACCAACTACACATTTTTTTTTCCACTGAATAAAAACAATCTCAATATTAAAATTAAATTATAAAAAAGATACTGTGATATTTTATTGATGAGAAATGTACATTTATAATTGTATTAAATACAAAAATAAACATGCCATGAATTACTATATATACATATTTTCATAATTATCAAACTTAAAAATATAATATTGTTACCAAAGAAGAAAGCACTATTTAAAAACTCTAAAAGTTCATAATTTGTTAAATTAGTAATTAAATACTGCATTTTGTATAATTTTTAAGCTTTATTCTTTTATTTTTCTTTATTTAATTGAATAGATATTAACATCCACAATGTAGCATACAGATTAAATTAACAACCAAAGAAATAAATCTTAACTTTGAAATATATTTTTGTTTCTTTTAAATATCAATCAACTGGATTTTGTACTACTATTAATATGAATTCTTTATCTGGTGCCATCATAATTTTATGTTTTTTGCTACGTATGCGCAAGAAAGTTAAATCATTTGTTGGATTCAAGTCACGTACGACAGAACGAGCTTTATCTGACAATTGACTTATCAAACCTGCGTATTGAACTGTTGTCGTATTATCTAATGTTGACTTTATAGGAATACCTAAAACAGATATAATTTTATAAATTTTTGTTTACAACTACAAGTAAATCATGTCAATGATCTCATGTAATACCTTCTGCATTCACCACTATTGTTCCAACTACCCTTTTATGAGACTGAATTTGTTTCATAGTTTCTTCAACCTCTTATAAATTATTTCATCGAAATTTATTAATAAAATTTTTATTTTAAATATTCCAATAACGGAAGCAAATCATATGGAATAAATGCGTTCTTTAATTGTAGGCTGCATATGTGGTGGATGACTGTAAGTCCGACAAAATTCCAATATTCCATGGGAATCTATCAAAATCTATATTGTCATACTTAGCCAATGTATTACGCAATATATTATGGTATATACAGGCCAGATGCTTGCAATGACACTGAGCAATAAGATCCTTGCCACTACAATCACAATGATAAAAATGATTAAATAAATTAAAAAATATATTATTTTGATACAAAGTGTGTGATGAATAATATTTAATTTTGTATATTAATTATTGGATATATATGTACCTGCAATAAGAAAATGCCAGAAAAATTGTAAAATAGTTCCTATAGCACTGATATTAGATTTATCTTGTTAAGCTAATCGAATGCTGCGATGATAACTAGCCATTGCCCAACCCATGCTCACAAGTGAGCTGATAATGCTACCTGCTTGATGTACAACTGAAAAAAATATAGAAGCTAATTAAGAAAATTATTAAAAATATATGCATACTCATACATAGGCATTTATATAATTGAAATATTATTGAAATAATAGCAAAATATCTGATTTTGTATCACAGACTGTAAACTTGCACATAAATTATTATGACAATAAATTTGCAAATAATAACATTAAAATTGAATGTAAAAATTGAAATTGAAAATTGAAAATATCTAACCCCGCACGCTGTCAATATAGCGGAGGGCAACTATCGCCGTCTGTTGTAAAACGTGCGAGATGGACATTTCCAATACATGCATCTATTCATGTGTTGTGTACGTGTGATATATGTGTGCGCATGTGTTGTATACGTGTGAATACGTGTAGCACGATACTACTATGTTTGCGTGGTCGATGATGATATATATAATGATGATGACGGGGACGTTTCTTAAAAGAAATTTTTCATATTTCGACTTTGCAATTATATATCTCTGCTTACAAATCACGTAGAGCAGAAATAAAGACACTTTTATTATATAATTCAAACTCAATCTATCGATTAAGTCTAGTATAAACTCGATTGCTTCAGCCGTTATTGAGAATTCGAAATATTATAAAGACTCAAATGTCCGACTCGCGTTAAGATACACGGTGTCTCGGCTACGCTCTTAACTGGTCGCGAGACACTACCGTGTCTCTTGATACAATATGTTGCATAGTTACATGCCTTTCAAAATAGGCGCGTAAGCATGACATCGCGTTTAGGACAGGAAAGCAAGTTGGTATGGCGGAGGTGACAATGTGCGATATATATACACGCGTATCGGCGGATTCAGTCTCTTCCTCTCCGGCATAGCGTAAGGAACACACACACGGCTGAGTTATACGAAGGACAGGAAATAAACCGATTGTAAATATAGTGAATACGTGGCAGATTAATTATTGAACCCCTTTCCCAAGCGGAGACACAACAATATATATAAAATATATATAATGGGAATCTCTTATGAAGGTTAAATAAGTTAATTCTTTTCTTAAAATATATATTTTTTCACAGCATGTCTGGTAACAAAATAAAATATTCGTCGTACTCAAAACGTCATCGTAGATATTTAGTTGCTACTGAAACACAGGATGATTTGGACAGATTCCGATATGTAAATGATGATGATGATGATGATATTCAATTTTGTGAGGATCTTGAAGGAGTTACGGCTATTCGCATCATTCTTCTACCGATAACTTGCAAGCTGCTAGCTCATCATCTTCTCAATCCAATAGTAATTGATGAAATTATAAATAAATTTGATAATAAAAAGTACATAATCAGTTTTGTCATGATAATTAATTAGATTTTTTTTCAGGTGATAATCCTCCATCTAAATCTGATCTGGCTAATAATGAATCTGATGATAATGTGAACTCTGATAGCGATACGGAAAATTGTAGTTCAGATGATGACCCATTATCTGATGACGAAGATTATGGATGTGACTAGTTCGATGAAGACAACATCAATGCTGCAGGTAACAGATATGAATGTCACGACTCACTGGTAAGTAACGATGGAATACAGAGTTCTGAATTCATGTCAGATTTAAAGTGGTGGGCAATAAAATACAGAATTTGTTTGAATGCAATTAGTGACCTCTTACAAATTTTAAAAAAACATATTCCAATATTATCATTTTTGCCTAAAGATGCCAGAACTTTTTTAAGAACACCGCGTGAAAATAATATAATTAAATTAGCAGGCGGATTATATTGGCATTGCGGTTTACGTAATTTTATTGAAAAATTAATAATTGACTATGATAAATTAGCACTCCCATCCAATATCGATTTAATTTTAAACATAGACGGTTTACCTTTAGCTAAGTCCTCTAAAGTTTTGTTTTGGCCTATTTTAGTATCCGATATTAAGTTAAAGAATGTTTACATGGTAGGTTGCTATTATGGAAATAGCAAACCAACCAGTGCAAATGATTTCGTGAAAGAATTGATTCATGAATTAACTAATATAAATAATAAATTGCCTATACAAGTTTCACTTTATGCAATTGTTTGTGATGCTCCAGCAAAATCGTTTTTATTGTCCACCAAAGGTCATATCGGATATGGCAGTTGTTCAAAATGTTACATTCAAGGCACGCATAAAAATAGTAAAGTTTGTTTTGTTGAAAATGTTCCAAGTCATCTTCGAACTAATACAGATTTTCTTGAGCAAACGGATGTAGATTATCATAAGGGGGAAACAATATTAACAATAGTTCCTAATTTAGGTTTAGTGACAAATGTACCGTTAGATTATATGCATCTTATTTGCTTGGGAGTCGTTAAAAAATTATTGATTTTATGGATAAAAGGATCTCTTTCGATACGTTTAAATTCTACTCAAATACAAAAAATTTCAAAATTATTAATAAAAATTAGAGAACGAACTCCTATAGAATTTGTAAGAAAACCAAGAAGTCTTAACAATGTTATGTATTGGAAAGCTACAGAGTTCCGCCAATTTTTATTGTATACAGGACCCGTAGTGCTAAATGAATTATATACGGTAAGACATCTATATCAATTTTTTAACTTTACATGTAGCTATATCAATTCTTATTAATCCAAAATTAATTGAAAACCAAAATAATATTTTATACGCTGAAAAACTTTTGACACATTTTGTAAAGTCATTTCAAATTATATACGGAGATCAATTCGTAACCCACAACATACATAATTTATTGCATCTTAGTAGAGATGTTCAGAAATTCGGAGCATTAGATGAATTTAACGCTTTTGGTTTGAAAATTATTTGCAAATGTTAAAAAATATTTTAAGAAAATCAGACACTTTGCAACAAGTTGCGCGACGTTTTGGAGAAATGTATGCATGCGAATATCAATTCCATTCAAAATTAGATAATCAATCAAATACTATTTTGAAAAACAAACATTGTGCAGGCCCTCTGCCGAATAACTTAATTATGCAAAATAATCTTAATCAGTACAAAATTCTTAAAACCCATTTATATTATATAAATTGTAAAGAGGACAAAAATAATTGTTGTGTATTAAAAGATGGATCTATTATTTGTGTTGTAAATATTATTCAATCACAAAATCTAGAGATATTTATTATCGGATTAAAATGTGCGCACGTACACTTTCCATTTACGTATTATACAAGATACGAGAGGTCAGTAGACCGATTCTCTAACGTTTAACAATAATTATCATCGTTATCGTTACATCGTCGCGCATGTATTTCGACATATGAAAATATATATGCGCAACGACATATATAACGATAGCGAAATCGTTGTTAAAAGTTAGATAATCGCCTTAAAGTGCCTCTTCCAATATATATATATATATATATATATATATATATATATATATTTTGTGCATGAAGAACGAAGAACATTCACACACGTGCGTGTATATTGCTGCGTATTATATTATTTGGTCTAAAGTATTCATTGAAGGTACGTACAATATTTTAACATATTTAATTAATGAAACTGATGATAGAGTTGGAAACATTATTTCATCCAAAATAAAAGAACATAAAAATGTTTCACAAAAAGAATCCACAGTATTATTGAATAAGCTTGCAGTAGAACAAAATATAGAATGTACCAATTCTACTACAAACAGTAAGTTTATATAATTATTTGTATCTATACATTTAAAGAATAATATTTATAATGCATATATATATGTATGTATGTTGTATATGTAATTTTATACAGTTTTGTTTCTGTATAATTTCAGAAAAGGAACAACTCCCGTTAAGACCTTTTAAAAACAAAGATGCAGATTATAATACCAATAGTAAGTTTTCATTTATCACTTAGGTCCGATTGCACCAACGTTATTTAAATATACATGTGTCTTTATTTATTTAGAAAGAAAGATAAAGATAGATACATATTTAAGTCTCGCTTAAAGCAAAAATAACGTTGGTGCAATCGGCGGGTTTATACGTTATACGTAGTATATTATATTCATAGAAAATTGTTTGACAAGTCTTTCTCTCTAATGACTTTTCTCTACCTCGAGTATTATTTCGACGTCGCCAGCGTCTCGCGTTTGCCAATACAAAAATATTCAACTTTAAAATAGTTAACTTTCTATTTGCATTCTTACTTAGCCCCATCTCTGATAATGTAATATTTATAATATTTAACATTTCAGAAGGATTATCAAAAGTTTTTAGAAAGCTAAATAAGTTACTCCAGGAGGTCTATATAATGAAAGAAGACATCGCAGAAATAAAAGAAAACGTTGTACCTAATAGATTCAAGAATGATAACCGCAGCGAAGGTTTACACATTGTTAACAGAAAAGTCATTGATGGAAAAAAAATCTTTATTGAAACGTTGGATGATCTGGATATACTGGAGAGTGCTTTAGAAGATACTGAATATTTCCAAAAAGTTGTAAGAGCAGTTTATATAATCTATTTCCATAGATATATTAATCCATATATTAATCCACATATATACATTTTAATTATTATTATTACTATTACTATTAAATTTATTACAAATATTTTCAGAAATAACTTTATTTCAGGGTACAGCTCTTTGTCAAATTGGTGGAGACAACGTAAAAAGTATTACACGAAATGTCCTGTTTGAAATCCGGTCAAACAAAATTGCGGCAGGCTTCAGTTGGGCGAGAGTCAGAGGGAAAAAGGGTTTCAAAGATTTAAATATAACCAAACTAGAGTTCGAGGTAAATTTTACACATTTATATACTCATTTTAAAAATTAATTTTTAATTGTATATAATGTGATATATATTGTATATTTTTTGTAGTTGTGGTGCAGAGCCAGCAAATCAATACGTCGGAAACGGAAATTGACAATTTTATTGGGAAGTGGCTGGTCCAAGCCCCGTTAAGATGCAAGAGAGAAATGTATGTATATAATTTATATTTGTATAGTTAATTATTATGATATTAAATAAATATATAATATATGTATGTACAATATATTTTTCAAAAATATGCAATATTTTTAATTTTGTGTTTCAGAGCGAAGATCAACAAACCAGTGAATTCAAAAGACAACAGTGACGATAAAAATTCTGATCTTTAGCATTCTGATGAAATCTTATTCATCAATGATTTGATACCGTATTCAGAGTTAAATAGAAATAGTTATAGTTAAAAAAAAAGAGAGTTTATTTTTTGTTATAATCTAATAAGATTATATATACTTACGTTTTGTCGACATTTACGTTTTTTGATGTTTATTTTCTATATTTGTCAGTGCAATATAAAATTAGTTTCTTAAAAATTTTAATAACTTTGTGTAACAATTTTACGTACAAAATGTACATTCTAAAAAAAATTCCATATGTACATTTTATATATATTATTCAAATACACATATTCAAATGTACATTTTACATTATAAAATTTCTTATACCTAATTTCTACCTTCTATTAATTATATTTCTTTATCTAAACGAAAAGGATTTTAAGTTTCAATTATATAATATATATCCGACCGTTACGAAAAAATATATAATATTCAATTATTGACGAAAAGCTGTACAAAACTATTGAAAACCGAAGTTTTTAAATTATATATAGCAGTATATATATATATATATATATATATATATGTGTGTGTGTGTGTGTGTTTATATGTTGATGGTTGAATATTATTGTATATAGTGTCTATATTCTTTTTCATAGAGGAAGTGCAAGCATTATTTAATTATCAACCATGTAATTTTTTCGTAGGAGCGGAAATGTATATAAAAAGTAAAAATGTCGCGTAAATTCGACAAATAGGAATTGTTATAAATTCACGTAAAAGTTTTCACTTTTCACATTTACTCTAAGACGGAAGAAGTGAAAACTTTTACGTGAATTCATTAATTCTATTTGTCGAATTTATGCGAAATTTTTAATTTTTACATTTCCGCTCCTACGAAAAAATTATATGATTGATAGCCAAATATATTTCAGTTACATATCTATTGCGTACCGATTACATTTTTGAAATATTGCAGTTATATATTTGTTGTAAGTATGTTACGCAACAATATTACACTTCTGTTACGTATCTGAAATAAACTACATTTCATGTTATGAACGCGGAGATTGGAACTAATTTGAGCGGTAACGGACACATATTTATTTCATATCAAATACATATCTGTAATGATAACCATTGTTATCGTCTCGTAACAAATATCTCTCTGAAACTAATTTGAAACGTATCCCTCGCGATTCGTGCTGTATGGAATCTAATGTGCCACCTAACGTATCAACGTTTGAAATAATTACAAATGATTTGCATGCATCAATAACTTTTAGTCAAGATAAGATAGATGTAGATTTATCAAATGAAATTAATGATTTTGATCAATCAAGTATCCCTTTAAGTAGTGAAGAAGAAAATAATGAAGTTTTATTTGAGCAACAAGAGTTTTTGAGTAATGAAGAAATTGATAATGACAATGATAATGAAAAAATTGATTTTAAAACATTTCTAGCTAGTTGAGCAGTTAAAGAAAATATTTCACAAGCATCTTTACGTACTCTTATAAAAGGCATAAAACAGTATACTTGTAATAAATGTCATTGTGATATACCGTCTGATCTTAGGGCACTTTTGCATACTCCCAGAAGTGTTAATATTAGAAATTGTGCTGATGGGGAATATTGCCAATTTAGTTTATTAAAGTCAGTAAAAAAATTTGTATCTGTCTCAGGAAATGTTACTAATATAAAAATAAATATAAATATAGATGGATTGTCATTATCAAAGTCATCGCATCAACAACTATGGCCAATTTTAGGTTCTATAGGGCAATCAAAGCAAGTTTTTATTATCGGAGCATACTATAGTACACAGAAACCTTCTAATTCAGATAATTTTTTAAAAGAATTTATAGAAGAAACACAATTATTGTGTCGTGATGGAATTATTATTAATAATAAACATGTTCATTGCAATATAGATTCTATAATATGTGATACTCCTGCAAAAGCATTCATATTAAAAGTTAAAGGACATACTAGTTATTCTAGCTGCACCAAATGTAAAACTGAAGGCACTTTTCGCAATAATAAAGTTTGCTTCCCTCAAATAGATGCTCCATTGAGAACAGATTTAGAATTTAGAACAAAGACAGATGAAAATTTTCATATTGAGACATCAATTATTGAAAATATTCCAAATCTTGATTTTGTAAATAATATACCCTTAGATTATATGCATTTAGTTTGTTTAGGAGTTACACGGCGATTACTATATTTATGGTTATTTGGCAATAATAAACAATTTTGTTTAGGAAGTAGCAAATGTAAAAACATATCATCAAATTTAGAAACTATATTAAAAATACATGTCCCATGTGAGTTTGCACGAAAACCTCGATCATTGACTTTCATAAAACTTTGAAAAGCTACAGAATATCGAGAATTCCTTTTGTACACAGGACCTGTAGCTCTGAAAAATATTCTTCGTAGTGACATATATGATCATTTCATAACATTACATGTAGCTATTAGAATATTATGTTCCACAGAAGTACATGATTTATTGGATTATTGTCAAAAGCTATTAGAACATTTTGTTACATCATTTGCATTAATTTATGGAAGTCATAATATCTCTTTTAATGTACATGGTCTAATTCATCTTGTACAAGATGTAAAGAAATTTGGCTCATTAGACAATTTTAGTTCATTTAAATATGAAAATTTTTTACAAACATTAAAAAAATTATTACAAAAGCATGACAAACCACTATAACAAATTTGCCGGAGATATATTGAATATGAAAACAACAAAATAGAAGAGAATCTTACAACAACAAAAATTGAAAATTTTACAATAGATTTGAAATCCATGCATTCATCTGGGCCATTAATACATGCTTGCTGTAATCCATAGTACAAAATAATTAGAAAAGCAAATATGATTTTACGTACTGATATAATAGCTGATAATTGTTGTTCATTGGTTGATAGAACTATTATATTAATAAAAAATATAGTACACAATAAAGATCTCAATACAAATGTAATTATAGGTCAGAAATTTTTACACAAGCAAGATTTTTATAACACTCCATGTCCTTCTTCATTATTAAAAATATTTAGTGTGCACGGTTTAAGTGAATTAGAAATGTGGCCAATAGAAAATATTTATATTAAATATGTTAAATTACCGTTATCAGAAAATAAATATGTAGTATTTCCAATGTTGCATTCATAAATAGAATTAAAAAAATATGTATAATAGTAATTTTTTTAGTTTCTATATTGGTTCAATGAATTAATTTTATTCTAATTCGTTTTTTTTAATTCAGTAGGATTTTTGCTAGAATTCTATATTGGTTCAATAAATTAATTTTATTCCAATTCGTTTTTTTTTAATTTAGCAGGGTTTTTGCTAGAAATATTATGACATATTTGCATATGTTAAAAGACCAAATCTTTTATCTTTTTATTACCACACTTTCTCTGCTTGTTCTCTTCTCAATTTTTGTTCTAGAGATTTTCCATATACAGTTTAAATAGTATTGGGTTCAGAAAGGATCTTTTATGTATTTTCGTTAATTTAGTTACAACGGATGACCAATATGCTATAGTAGAATTTAACGATGGGCTGCAAATGATACCTTCTTCTTCGTTAACTAAAGACAAGAAACAAGCATATTGGCCTACTTTTACATCAACTGAACGATTTTCCAAAGCTGTACAAAAATGTATACCCAAAATGGACTCTTGGCCGCTGTATGAAGTTAAGAGAATTTTAGCAACTGCAAGTAAGTAATAAATATATAAAAAAATAACATTAATGTAGAGTCATTTGCGTTTTTATTTTATTATTTATTCGATAATCTTTAATACAAAATAATAGAATAAATATATATAGAATGCTATAAGCTGTAAATAAAAAATGTTTAAAAAATTATTTATATTTTTAGGAAATAAAATTTTATTTTTAATTAAAAATTTTTTGTTTCAGAATTTGTTTTTTTAACAAATAATTTTTATTGTTTTATTTTTCAGATAAATACGAAAAAGGAATGATTAAACTAAAAAAAGCAGAATTTATATCAGATATAAATTCTGAAAGTGACGATAAAGCATCAAAAAGAAATAGAAAATATAGAGCAAAAACCGTTCGTAGTAGCGAAGAAATAAGTTCAAATGAAGAAGAAAATATTATCAAAGTACCATCTTATCCAAAAGTGCCATCTTCAAAAGTACAAAAGAAAAATAATAATATGGAATCAAATAAAAATCCAGTAAATAAAATATTTAAAAGTTCGTACAAAAATTTTTATATTGTGAAGTAATATAGAAAATTATAATATGTATATTGCAATATATTATAGATTATTATATATATATATATATATATATATATATATATATATATGCACATATATATATAGTATTACAATTTAATTTTTAATGTATATTTTTATTTTAATTTATTTTATATTTATTTTTATATATTTTATATTTATTTTTTTATATTTTTTATATTTTATATTATATTTTTAATTTATATTTTATTTTACAGACAAAGATGTATATTAAAACAGATAGAAAATGAAAATATTAATCTATCAACAATTACACCTTCAAAGAAAAGTATAGAAACAAATATACATTTAAAGAAAACAAGTGTAGAAAGACACGATTCAATTAATAACACAGGTAATTAATTTATATTTATGCTAATATATGAACTGTTTTCTTTGAAAGTAATATTTATTGTTTTAAGATATTAAGAGATTTACATTAGTCTGTAATTGAAAGAAACTTTTACTTTTTATTTTTCAAAATTATACTTATTTCCAATTTTGAAACTATTTTCAAAAAAGAAAAAAAACTCATATATTTTATTTTACATTTATAAAGAAATTAATATATATGTAATTTTTATATATATTTTATAAATTAAACTTCGGCTCGTATACAATTAAAATATGTGATATAATAAAAGGCCAACTTAACGAGCTTATATGCTATTAATTGAAAAATTTTTATTTATTAATTTACGTCATACTATACAAAAGTTACGATAAACGTTTCGACTGTACGACAGTCTTTCTCAATATCCTAATAATATGTTAAAAAATTAATTTAGTCATTTCGACATCATAAATAAATACAACAATTATAAGATTATATGACGAACGCAGTACAAAATTCATGATTGTTGGCATGAGTTAGAGCGTCAGATGCTGTTATATTATGTAACGACACTGTGAACAAATTAATATATCCG